ATAGAAGCAAGACAGCCCCTGAAATCACAGGGACCCACATGATGCAGCCCCCTTCCCACACAGCCCTGCTATACCTGGGGCGAAGGAGCGCAGCGCTGAGCTGCACAGCCCTGCTGGCAGGGAGCACAGCAGCACCCAGCCCTGCTCCCAAACCTCAGTGCCAGTGGGCTCATCCATTCACTTATTTGCACAGCTGTTTGTACTGCCTCTGTTACAACACAAACAACTGCTGCTGTTCACTGACAGTGCTTTAAAAGCCCAACGACACACCAGGATGGGAAAGTTCCCAATAGCGGCTGATCTGAGGATTATCTGCCTTGCGGTTTAATCTGACTGCATTAATTAGAGGACAGCCACGGCAGTGCAACTTGCCCTCCTTAACGATGCTGTAAACACAGGAACCCCCTCCCTCCCACCCACAGCAGAACCTCCCAGCAGCAGAGTGGGACGAGGGCCTCTCCCCAGCAATGCCCCCCCTGCGCATCACCGCCGCATCCTCCGTTCCCATGGTGACACCATACCCCAGTGCTGACTTTTTCTCCCTCTCTTTAGAGGCCCACAGAACAAAACAAACTGCACAACGGAGGCAATATATGGGGGTCAGCGTGCAGCCACTGCCTTCAGGCTGATTTATGGCCTGCCAGCTCCGTGCAGATGCCACCACAAAGCCACATGGGCCGCTCCGCGTCCTTCCTCCATTCCACGCAAACAGCAGGACAGCAGCAAGGCTGCAGCCCAAACCCCACTGCTCCTCCAGTGAGCACCAGGTGGTCGCCCACCACCACTTCGAAAACAAGAGGATGGAGCCCTCCCAAAACCTGCTGAGCCCCCCACTGCAGGAAAGGGACGGGGCAGCTGTGCAGCCACACCGCCCCAACCTCAGCCAGAGCGACAGAGCCACAGCCAGCAGCCACTCTCAATTAGAACCCCCCATGGCAGATCAATGCAGACCCCGCCTGGACCCCCCCACCTCCAGCACAGCCACGTGAGGTGTGCTGTGCCAGGATTCATGTTGTATCAGCTCCTTATTTACGCCCGTAGCAAAACCAGCTGCCAGACCGAGGGATGCAGCACACAGCCAACATCAAGGCAGTGCTAAGGCGACATGAGAGCTCTGACTCCAGCCCGGGGAAGAGAGCAGAGCCAGGAGAAGGCTGTCAGTCACCGCTAATCCGCTCAAAGCAGCAGCTGCCCCGGGGACCCTCAGTGTTATCCTGAAACCTCGGAGAAGAAATCTGTCATCTGCAAGCAGAAGTCATGGCCGGCTGCAGCCCCAGCAGCGGGAAAGGAAAGAGAAAAAAAGGAAGAAGGAAAATCTCTTCTGGGTGAGGAGCAGAGCCTTGATGCTGAGGGACGGCCAGGAACACAACGGCTTTGGAAGGGAAGGGCCTCCATGGGGGCTCTGTGGGCCGCCAGCCCTCCCCAGCACCGCCCCACTGCCAGGTCCCAGAGACACTCTGTTCTCGTTACACATTTCCAAAGGAAATCCATTGCTGTTTGCAAGCCAGAAATATTACTCAGCATGCTGTACAGTGCAACGTTAATGAGAATTAAATCGATGCGGGAGAAGTACCTGCTCAGCATGCTTATTGTCTATTTTTCAAACATAACTATATTGGATACTGGCTTTTTTTGCCCCCAGCCCAACGCGCTGCCCACTGCACAGGTTAAGCAGATAGATAATATATCGTTAGAGCCCCTCTGAACCACAGATCCATACATTCCTGAAGTCTCTCTCTAGCTCCAGAATGGCTTAATCGATTTCTGTAATTTTTTATTAAAGAAAGATTTCATCCGGGCAGCGAGATGGATATTTCCTCTGGGATCACAGCTTATGTGCCGAGCCGAGAGCCAATCTGATCTGAAACAGCCCCGTTACAAACCCTCTGAAAAATAGAATACCTCCATCACTATGACAGATATGCCACTATAATTAACATCTTCGGTAACAGACATTCCGCAGCCAAAACTTTCTATTTCCAGCTGCAGCACCGACCACATCCCAGCACCCACTACAAAGCAGCCGCAGCTCTCCGGCCTCCAAAGAGCACCGCGCAGCCTCACTCACTGCCAGTTTGGGAAGCACCCGCTGGGCACCGACCCCCCGCTGCACGCTGTGCGCCCACACCCCAGGGTCACCCCAGGGCTGCCAGTCGCTCCGCCCCGCTCCCAGGAGCTCACTGATGATATCCATTACCGGCAGCTATGAAACATTCAGGCTGCATTTCCGATGAGGAGCTCCATCAGCACTGCGCTCCCGGGAGGTGATGGGAGGTGATGGGCGCAGTGCAGAGCGCTCCTCCATCAGAAGGAAACGCATCGGATGGCGAGCGAGCCATTCCCACCGGCGATGCCACAGCCGGGTGCCCAGCCCCACTGCCGCTGCAGGGAGCGCTCCATTGCAGAGCAGAGCAGCAACCCCGGGGCCTCCGCATGTAGAAGCGCCCCTTCGGCCCCCGCAGCACAGCTCCTGCTGTCAGCCTGCACAGCTGCTGCCCTGGAGCAAAGGCTGATCCTGCCCAGATCCCCCCGCTGCCCCTCTGCAGGAGTCACACAAGGCGGCACGGAGCAGCTCCACTCCGCACGGCACCCGATGCGCTGCTGCCAAAGAAGGCACCGCTGCCAGTGAAGGTAATTCACACGGACTGTAATTGCCAAAGTGTAATTAAGGGCAAAGCACGGCCTGCGTCTTTAAAGGCGACGATGCAGACTAACAAAGGCTCGCTGTTCCCAGCCCTGTGGGTCCGTCCCACTGGCACCACACAAACCCTGGCTCTGCTGGGAGAAAGGAGCAATTCTGCACCGGCCCATGGGACTTTGTGCTCCCTCTGTAGAGGGCCAGGTGCTGAGGACCAGGCGTGCTTTGCAGGCAGCTGGGCGGCTCTGCCCTCCTTATACACCCAGCTCTGGGAGCCCCACTTTGGAGACAACCCCAACTCACCCAGCAGAGCTCCATGAGATCAGACGCGTCCCCAGAAGCAGGCAGGACACAGGCCTGGGCGAGCAGTGAATGCTCCCGATGGCAGCAGGTGGGGGATGCACAGAGATCAGGCATGGGCTTTGAAAACACATCCTCTTTCAAAGAGCTCCAAGGAGGTACAGTTTGATATAAATGCAGATGAGTGCACACACCCAGCATGGGACGCCATATCAGGCACCAGCTCTCTCCCTTCCTTCATCCCAGCACTCTGAGCAAAGACATATTCCCCTCAACGCCATCTCCACCGTGCCCAGCTCGCTCCCCATCTACCGTGGCTGTAGGAGCAGGTTGCAGCCCAGGCTGCACCAGGCAGCAGCGCTGTGCACTGACTGGCACTGGCACATCTGGGGGAAGCTCCAGGGGCAGACAGGCGCTAATTCCATCCTACTTCCCATCCCATCCCTCCCTCTTCTCCCAGAGCTGTGCACCCTGAGGGGATCACGAACAAAAACATCTCGGAGGTGCCACAAAAAAAAGCCACTGAGAGCCACACAAGCTGTAAGGCAGCACCAGGGGGAAGGCGGGGGGCTGGGAGGGGGGCATGGCTGGGGACTGCAGCTGGCCCTGTGGGCTCAGCCCCACAGCTGTGGTCCCACAGCCAGACTCACTGTGCGCCCATCGGCCCGGCGGCCACACGCACGCTGTCAGTGTGAGCTCACCATCACAACGCTGTGATAATTTGCTCTGGAAATTTTTCAAAGGAAAGAATTTGACCTAAAACCTTCTTATTTGCAGAACCAACTCCAAAGCTTTTTGTAGCTCAGCAATGATGCTTTTCTGGCTACAGCCAAGCAGCTGATGGCAGAGGAGCAGCCCAGTTACCTCTGGAACAGCACCAGCTCCTGACCCCAGCATTAATGGGGCATCGTCCGTTCCCAGCAGAGCTGAGAGCAAACAAAGCTGCACTTCTCGATGGCTAAAGCCCTGCCTGCTGTCCAACCCCCCCAGCAACCTGCTGTCATCTACAATCAAGGAACCAGAAAGGCTGGAGAAGCCCTCTGATACCCCCCACCCCGGCAAACTCCCTCCTCTCACGGCACAAAGCAGGCGTGCAGCCCCGCTCCCAATGCCACACGCAGGTGCCCAGCAATGGAGCCGCAGCCCCCCGCACCCCCACCCCAACCATGCCATCTCTGGGAGCAAGCCAGAAATCACACACATGGGCTGTGCGTGGCCCCTTCCCTATTCCCCAGCCAGCCCAAAAGCAATTCCTGCTGTGCATTACCTCATTTCTACACAGCAGAAGCAGAAATTTCTTCTCAGTACTCCACATATGCATTTTTCTACGGCAGCATTACTCTGTGTACATTCACCTATTTGTCTTTGGGATCTTATAGTGGAAAAGTGACAACCGAAGGCGCTCTGTTGGGATGGCAGGCGGTCCCAGCACAGCTCTGCTGCGAGCAGCTCACAGCATGCAGGCACTGCTGCTGGGGAAGGAGGAGAAGCTGGAAATATTTTCCATAGGTCTCCATAACAACTCACCTCTCTGCCTCGCATTAGTATGAGAGCAAACGTGTAACTGGCCTGCGGTGGACACAGAGTGGATGTTTTCATCAGTTGCCTTTTGTATCCTTCGTGTTTCAAATTATACACTTGGAAATTGATTTTAGAGGAAAGAGGAGATGCAGCCCGAGAAGCTCAGCTCTGGCTGTGCCTTGCCTTCAAACTTTCAGTGCATTTCAGGCAGCGCTCCTTCTCCTAAGCCCCGGGGGCTGTAGATACGTGGTGTTTTGGGCAAGGAACAAAGGCTGCTGCACAGACATTGCCACGCTGCAGGGACAGCAGCGAGCAAGAGCAGCAGCTTGCTGCTACAGACACACTGGTGTTACACAGAGAAACATCACTTCCAGAGGATCAGTGGCAAACTGGAAGGCAACCTGCCAGCATCGCTCCCACCACCACTGGCACCCAGGGGCTGGGAGGGATGCAGCCCTTCGTCCCCTGCAGCACAGCGACCCCCCGACCACCCTCACCTCCCCGCAGTGCCCACGGCTCCCAGCAGAAGGATGGAGCTCACCTCAGCTCCATGCAGCGCTCTGCCAACCTATTTCCCAGCATGGGCAGTTGGAAACGATCAGAAGCACGAAGGATAACGAGCAAATAACCTTCACAACAGCCTGTGCTGCAAAGAGCCGAGCTTCTCCATTGTGCTGACGGTTATTAATGGCCCTGTTGAGTCCCTAATGAACTTTGTGCTTCACGTGGGAAGCGGGGGCTCAGTCCAAGTGCTCTTTTCCATTTATTTGAGGCCTTACGTAAGGGAGCTGTCACATTCTGAACCTAGGAAACCTCATTTCGTATTTTTTCTCTCACGTCTCCACGTTCTCATAGCACGAGTGAGTTCAGAAACAAAGCAGCACTGTCTGCCCAGGCAAATACTTGACTCACCAAACGATGGCAAACGGTTCATTATTTCAGGCCCTTTTGCCACCACTGACTGCACCACGAAGAATCTCAAACATTCCCTGGGACAAGCAGCTCAGTCACACAGAAACCGCAGCGCCGGAGCATTTCTGCCTTCCTCAATGCTCGCTTTATTCCAATTGTTGTGGCACTGCCTCCCCCGTGCCTGGAGATGCGGGGCGGTGAGCACAGGGACGTGGCAGAGCAGACCCACATCGGGGCAGTGATGGGAGCGGGGACAGCCTGGAGAGCATCCACAGCAGCGAGAGCACTCTGCAGAGCCCCACTGCAGCTGTCACTGTGCTGCTGCTGAGACACGAGAAGCTCCAAGAGCAGAGGGGACAGCGCTTCGTGCTCACCCACAGCAGGAGCCCTGCGAGTGCCCAAGAGCCGCAGGCACAGCTCCATCCCCGTGCTGCAGCACAGCACATCATCCTCCTGCTCTCTGCACAAAGCCTCGGACAAAACCCAAGCTGTTTGCGGGGCATGGAGCAGCTGCCCCCCACAGCTGGGTACCAGCAGGAGCCGGCCCTGAGCCATGCTCCTCTGCTGCTCCTTTGGCTGCTGGGGGGAACAGTGGGGCAGAGGAGGTGGAGGAGGCACCCGAGCACAGAGAAGGAACTGCTTCAACACAGGAACATCACCAAGGTAAACTGGTGGTAATCAAATAAAAGCAACTTTATTTAAGTCATTATCACACAGCACACGAGCACTACTCACGCAGCTTTTATTGAGCTCAACCTGAGGGCTCAACGACAGCCCTCAGGAGCACCGTGCTGGTGCCCGGGATGCAAGGCAGAGCCCGGAGTCACACAGCACAGACCCACTGCAGCCAGGGGAATGCACTGCCAACCTCCTCCAGAGCACAGGTGTGCACCACACCGCTGCTTCATGCGGCTCTCCACATCTGAGCAAAAATAGCAATCCTAAATTAGAGCCAACAGGCGCACAGACCGCCCGGGCGAGGAGCACCACGGAGCTCAGCGAGACGCCCAATATCGGCACCCGACGGGGAATGACCTTCAAAACTCATTCACCGCTCCCCGCTCCGGGCTGACGGCTTTCCCACTTGCAGGACATTACCGCTCCCACACACACTTAATTTTGCACGGACTGTCAGCACTTCGCTGTCGGGCAGTGTGAGGGCAATGGCAAACAAACACCTCTCCGCGTAACCTTGCTGGCGAGGGCAACAGAGCTGATTCTGGGCATCCCCGGTCCTGAACACCAAACACAGCGATCCACCGTTCGCTATGCTAAATGTCCACCGAAATACAGGATCCGGTGCTATACACTAAAAATAAGAACTAAAAGAGCACGCTAAATGAAGACAGCTCGTTAGATCCTAATAAGGACAGAAAATCCAGATTTTTCTATGCTGCATCGCCCGGATTCTCCCTCCCGAGCCGCGCTCCATGTGAATTAAGAACAGCCTCGGAGGGACCGACGGGCAGCGCCGGCGCCGCGCAGCTCCGTGCCGCCATCGGGTGCGCGCAGCCCCGCGTTCGGCTGCTTCAGGAGAGCCGAGCACGCCGGCAGTGCCGCCCGCGGCGCTCCGCTCTGCTCCCACCGCTCTTTGTCATTCGCCACGCGGGGCTGCCGGCAGCGCGGAGCCATTCGCGGAGTTGTGGGACGGCCCCCGGTGGCGGCACCTCGACCCGAACGGCCTCGGGTCCCCGGAGCCGGTACCGAACCGCGGGGCTGCGCGGAGCAGCGGTGCCGTCACCGCGATGGCTGCGGGAGAGCGGCGGGCGCCGCAAATCGGTTCGCCCCGTGCCGGCACTCCTCTCCCGGCAGCTCCGGGGCCGAACGGGAGGCAAAACGGCGGCACCCCCGGATCTCACTCCGTACCCACGTCCTCCCTGCGGTGCCGGAGGTGCGGGGCTCGGCGCGGGGTTCCCGCAGCGCACCCGGCCCCCGCCAGGCACCGCGGAGGGGGCGGCTTTCGGGGCTCCCCCGCACCGCCGGCACCGCGGGGATGCTCGGGGAGTCGCGCTGCTCCGTAACCGCCGCCGCTCCGTCTTTGTTCGATGCGGGTTCCTTTTGTCTGCGGGTTCCGCGCCGCGAAGAAGCGCCGCGATCCCGGCCCGCCCCTCACGGGCCGTCCCGGCCCCCCGCCCGCGGCTGCCGACCTGGATGGTGCAGGTGTACTCGCTATCGTCCAGCAGCCGCACGGTGCAGTTGTACTCGCGCTCCAGGTTCCTGCTGCTGCCACTCATCCACCTGCTCAGCATCTTCCCGAGCCGGGCTGCGGGGCGCGGAGCGGGCGCTGCCGGCGGAGCCTCCGTTCACATCCCGCTGCCGCGCGGTGCGGCGTTGCGGTCGCGCCCCCCGCCCGGCCCTCCCCCGCCGCACCGAGCCCGCTGCGGGCCGAGCAGCGCGGAGTGGAGCGCAGTGCCCGTGGCCGGGCCGCGGCGCACGGCGGGCGGGGTGGGGGAGGGCCGGGGGGGCGCGGGCTGCGGGGCCAATCTCGGCGCCGCGCCTGTGACGGGCTTCGCCGCAAACCAATGCGGTATGGGCGGCGCGGATCCACCGCCCCCGCCGGGCAGCCCCGCGCGGAAGGAGGCTCCGCGGGAGCGCAGCGGGGAGCGCGGGGGGGGGGGGTTAAAGAATGCGCTGCCGTGCGTGAGCCGGGCGTGGGGCGGGAGCGGCTCACCGTGGGCTGCCGAGCGTTGGGTTGGAGCTGCCGGGGAGAACGGCTGCAGCCCGGGGGCGGCGGAGGGATCATCGCGGTCCCGTCGCCCCGCTGTCTGCCGGACGGGTTGGTGTTTCCACAGCGGGACCGCCGTCACGGCCCTGTGAGCAGAGCCGGGCACTGAGAGCCCCCAGGACGTGGGCTGCTTTCCTAGGGCTCACTCCTTACAGAGGGAAACTTTTACGTCTCCCTGTTTTGGACAAAATGGACTCTAGAGGTGATCAGCGCCCAATTAGCTGCAGCTGGTGCTGCTCTAAGAGGTGAGATGCACGGCACCTGTGCTCAGCTGCTCCCTGGCCCGGCTGTGCGCTGGCTCAGCCCTGTGCTTGCCTCTCCAGCAGAGCTGTTGCTGATCCCCCATCAGCTCCTGACTCGCAGCGTGGGGCAGGGCAGACCGGACCCCGCTGCAGGGCAATGCGGCTCCGCGTCTGTCCCCAGGACAGGGAAAAATCCTCCCGAGCCCGCCTCTGCTCTCAGTTACTCTAAGCGTCCAATTAATGCAAATGACGGAGCGGGAATGAGATGTCGGAGGCGGAGGCACTGCAGCAGCCAGACACGGGCAGCGCCTCGGGAGGGGGGATTCGTTCTGCTGGGCTCAATGCTGGCACGCAGCGGCCCGTGGGTCGGCCGAGCCGCGGTGCGCAGCCCCGATCGGCGCAGCACGGCGCGGGGCCGGGCCGGCTCCCCCGTCTGGGCACCGTTACAAAGCCGCTCGCATTCGCCGGAGGAGCAGCCGCTTTGTCACGGAACGCACTCCGCAGGCATTGTTCGGCCGCCTCAGAGCTCCCCTTCTGAACCAGCTGAGCTGTTAATGAAGAATGGGATCCTCGGCGTTGGCAGGTGCCGCTTTCACACAGAGCAGACGCTCCCGAGCCAGCTGAGCGCTTAATGAAAGCGGCATTCATGCCACGCAGCCGCGCTTTTGTCGGCCGCCTCTCGCCCGTGGCGCTGAGGCTGTGCGATTTGCGCCCCGAGCGAAGGAGCGGCTGCGCTGGGGCTCCCGTTCCTGCGGGCTCAGGAGGGTCGCTGCTAATAGGAGCCGTGCTGCGTGCAGGGCTGTGCTCGCAGAGCAGCAGGGCTGGGAGATGCCTCCAGGAAACTGCTTGGATCAATCGGTGTGCAGTTTTGATGAGTAATGTCATTTCCCCCCTTTTTAATAATTTACTCCCTACATCCTACCAATGCCCGGCGCTCACATTTTGCCTTGCACACCTATGCTCCCAAAGGCAGATTTCCAGATGCACACCTGATGCCAAGCGCTGTGTGTGCTGCTCTCTGCTCAGCACAACTTCCCCGTGACCACACTCTGAGCAGCCCTGCTGCCAGGCTCACCCCACAGGCCCAAAGCAGCCTTCTGTTCACAGCAATGCCCTTCCCTTTACCTGTCTCAGGTATTTCAACAGGAATTGGCACGTGTTCTGTGTGCATCGTTGCAATAAGAACTTGCTTTGTTCTGACTGTGGTGCTTGAGGCGTGGAGAACAAAACCTGCACGTCCGTCAGCAAGAGCTGCTGGTGCTGCTGCTGCTGGTGCTCCCGATGACCAAAGCACTGACCTCTGCTCTGCTGCCATTTCTTGCCTGAATGCAACCCGTTCTGTTTGGGTACTTTTTGTGTTTTCTCCATCCAGAGCTGAGAAATGAGGCTGTCAGCTCTGCTTTGCTTTGCAGCCAGCACTCACTCTGGAAATACAGCAGAGCAATGGTTCTTATTACCCGAGCTCTGGCACAACCCCGGTGCCATTCAGACCAGATGTCTCACTGCGGCCCAGCTCTCGGGGTTGCCCATCATTTACATACATTTACTGGCAGCGCCGGCCTTGTTGTTATTATACTTCCAAATGAACTCACAGGGCCCGGCCCGTTCTCCCCAGCTGTCTGCAGCAGGAAGCAGGCTGGAACACATCGTGTTTGGTACCCAGGTCAGCAGTGGCAGTTGCGTTCTCCTCCTGGGTGCTGGCAATGCTGTGTGCCCTGAGCAGACACGTGCTTTGGGTCCCTGGGCTGTGCCTGTGCTGTCCCAGCAGCAGCCCCAGGGGGACAGGCTGCAGCACGGAGCCTCCCGGCTCCAGGCATGTAAAATTGTAACTGTGATTTGCAATTATAACCAGAGGATAGCATTTCAGCCTGCTAGGAGGAGGTGGGAACCTGCAGCGCGATGCAGATTAATTACTGCTGACACCCGGGGATGGGCTCATTAGGCTGCAGTCTCCTTGCCTCCCAGCACAAAGTTTTTGCTCTAGGAAGCGATTTCGGGGGGTGACTGCAGAGCTGAGCTCCGGGCACTCGCAGTGTTCGGCCCCAGAGACCCCCAGCCCTGGGACTGCAGGGCCAGGCTGAGCTCAGCCCTTCCAGCTGCCGTTTGTGTGCATCCCTGCGGGGTCACCCGGTGACAGCAGAGGAGGGGATGGGGGCTCTGTGCTGGGGATGGGTGTGGGTGCAGCCCAGGGAAAGGCACAGTTGGCAGTGGGGCGATGTGGGGCAATGTGGGGCATGCAGCCTCTGCTCAGCAGGAACCAGCAGTGAACCCCCATGAACAGCTGCCTTACAGCTATGGAATTTCTATGCTCCCATTTACAGCCCTCAGTCTGATGTCACAGCATGCTACACTGTTTCTTGGGCCCAAATGTCATCCTGAGAAGGAGCATCCCGGGGTGGGGGCTGGTGATAGCACCCAGTGAGAGCAGAACCAGGCAGGGTGTCACTCTGGGTGGGGATGTGGGCCGGGGATGTGTCCCTACCTCCCATGGCTGCATCCTGTGCACTCTGGGGCTTCTTGGTGAGACATTTCCTCCCTGCACCTTCTGTAAGCTGCCCTGCGGGCTCCAAGTCGTTGGCCTTTTTTGGCCTTGAAGATCATTGTTAGGCTGTCTGTGCATGCATTTCTTCACTTTGCTTGTGAAGGAGAGAGACAGCACGGAAGTGCGACTGCTGAAGCCAGCAATTCACAGCAAACAACTGCTTTGACTTTTTTCCTGCTTGCAGAGCTGATGGTAGTGCGACACAAAAGGCTTTGCTCCGTGTGCTCGCAGCAGAGGCTGCAGATCCGAGGCACTGTGATGGGGCACACAGGGCTCTGTCCTCCTCCTGAGTCACTGCCTTGGCAGCAGCTGCATCACAAACCCTTCAGAGTGCAAATACAGCTCTCAGTCTCCTTGTGTACCCGTGGAGGTGATGCTCTCGGCATTTTTTGGCTAGCAAGGAATGTTTTGTGTTCTATCTAGGGAATACAAATGGGATTCGTTCTGAATCCAGCCCAGAAATCCATTTAGAACATTCCTATAGTTCTATTTCCAGACGGCTGCTGCTGATGCTGCCGGGGCAGACAGAAGGGTCTCTGCTCCCTGGGAGCACGGTGTGTGCCGGCAGCGCTGCTCGGTGCTGGTGCTCCACAGTGTTATTTCTGAAAGTCCTGCTTCTCAATCTCCGTGACTAAGAAGTAATCACAGCCTCTGTCAAAAAAAGAGATATATATATATCTCCTGATTGCAAAAGAACACTTGGAAATGTGAGGCATATGCAGCAGCGTGTGCTCAGCAGGGGTCAGAAATAAGACAGCAGGGAAACAGCCCTGGGGGTTTTTTGCTCTCCATGCCATGTGTGGCACCCCCTGATCTCAGGCACAAGGCCTTGGATTTGCAGTGCTGCCTCTGAGGCTCATGCAAGAAGTGAAGTGTGGGTAAACACATCCGA